CACCAATCACGTACGCACGCACCACGCACACACACCCACCCTCCCCCCACACACACACCGCACGCGTCGCACACATACACCACACACTGTACACACATGCACGCACTTACGCAAGCCACCACCACGCACGCGCACGTCACGCGTCGACGGAAAAACCTAGTCTTTGTTTATATTTGCGCAATAGAGGAATACAATTCACTTCGTGGCCGTTATACTTCTTGCCGACGCCAACATTCGGCGCAAATTGTAGTCGCGAGGCGCGCTCGCCGACCGCAGCGGCGACGCTCTTAATATTCGGTTTCCTCGGCCGAGTGCTTCGTAACCAGAAAATTAACGCGCGTTCCTGGGCCCCAAAGCAATTACATGCCAGCCGAGAGCGAGTTGCCCCAGCGAGCGAGAGATCGCCACGGATATGGACGTTTCAACATCGCCGTTCAAACCGACTGCGTGCCATTTTATTGCCGGGTTAAGAGCGCTCCACCTCTCTCACCGCGCCGAAAACTAAGCGAACAAAATTGAAAATCGTAAAACATGCGTTCGTTCGTTCTCCGGCATGTCTGCAGCGACCGCGCGCATGTCCCGAATATTAACAAGCCGGATCATTCGAAGTATACGGAACCCCCTGCCTGACCGTATACGCGCAGCAGAACAATATTCATGATGCATCCCGCACGGGGCGTCCATATATACACACTATGCCAGTAAATTTCCATTCCTAGGGTCACGAATACGCGAGTAAAACTTCGTTCTGTTTTCTTTCAAGCGTTATTCCGAACATACGAAGAACTTATGACAGAGGCACGAGGAGACGTGATAGACGGCCGGAGGTAAGTAACACAAACACATGGCTAAGCATCGCAGCGGTGTTATCGATCGCATTATTTCGCGATTAGAAAGTATTCGTCGCGTATTATTCGTACTGAAACTAAGGTATATACGTATTATATTATTGTATAGCGTATCGCCATGTGCATGTATGCGCATACTTATATATATCAGTAAGTGGGTGCAGGATGAGTGAGTGACGTGACTTGCCAGTGATGGAGCTGAGTGAGTGAGTGAGTGAGTGAGTGAGTGCAGTGAGTGAGTGAGTGAGTGTGTGTCTGCGTGCGTGCGTGCGTGCGTGCTTGCGTGCGTGCGTGCGCGAGTGAGTGAGTGAGTCAGTAACTGAGGTACAGTGAGGTCGGTATGGAGCAACACGGCCACTGCGTAGGTGGCGCTGCAGTCGCGATAAGACCAGAGCCATATATGAAGATAATCTATATATACGGCTTTGGATAGAATGCGCCTCGTTGATGCTGTTTTGGGTCAGAGACGCGCGCACACGCACGTACGACACACACGCACGCACACGCACGCGCACGCACGTACGACGTACATGCAAAACGTCTGAAAACGACGGCAACCAGGGAGGTGCACACCGCATCTCTTCTTCCCCTTGATCAAGTGCTGCAACCGCTGGCTGTCTGTTTTAGCGTTGATTTGAAACTGTAGTTTAACTAACGTTTGCTGTACGCCAATAACACGTTGTTGCCGTAAGTAATGAGAAAACCGTGGTCACTCAAATAAGACGAGATACGAGGTCGAAATAAATGATTGGTTCCGACGTAATTATTGTTGACGTAACCGCAGTAGGTCGTCCTCTTTACGACCTCCTACCGACCCCGAGTTACACCATTAGCAAGGAATATTGAAAAACGTTGTTCGATGCATGAAATCTCGTTTCTCGTTTTGCCAACATTTCTAGTGGTTGCTCTCGGGATCTTGACTATCCATCGATCAAGCGCGTACTAGTGTACATCAATCACCATACGTGTACGTGTATATCCCATGCGTGTATGGGAGGGTTGTACGCGCGCGTACATGCGTACGTGCATGCGTGCGTGCGCGCGTACGAGTGTGAGTATATGCGTGCGCATGTACGTGCAAGTGCGCGTATGTGCGTGCGCGTGTACGTGCGTGTGCGCGTATATGCGTGCGCTCGTGTGCGTGTACATTATGTGTTATAGAGAAAATCCTATGATAGTCGACAAGAATAGGTGAAAGAAAATAGTTTCCTATTGCTTAGGTCTTAACATCTGTGTCTATTCATCACTCGTTTCTTTCTCTCTCTCTCTCTCTCTCTCTCTCTCTCTCTCTCTCTCTCTCTCTCTCTCTCTCTCTCTCTCTCTCTCTCTCTCTCTCT